CAACTTGTTCATTGTGATTTTAAACCAAGTTTGATCACAAATTAAAACATTTTCAACGATGGTATGTAATTCAAGGATTCATATTGATTTAGGTTCTCGAAACCTTAAAATATTGAACAAAATCTATGTAGAACCTTATAATGACAATAATCACCGTAATCAGGAAGTATTATAAGGACCAATGATGAAAAAGGTTTCATTTTTAAACTAAACAAGATGAAAAATATACAAATTACCTTAATCATATCAGATCTTGTGTTTAACCGTTCTTTATTGCAAAAGTAAGATGCCAAAATATACAAACTAATGATAATACAATGCTCTAACTGGCCCTTTTGGTTGAGTTCTTTGAACCTGCAAAGCCAACACATTAAAAAAAACATAGTAAAAACCTTTTTAGGAACAAACCTGATATAATAAAGTCTTCACCCAATATATTTATAAGATAAAAATACAAAAAGTTAAAAATAATGGAATCAATTACAAGTAAGGATTAAAATAAAAACCTGTTTAAAAAGAGCCATGTGCAGGAGGGATATTTGAATCAACATGTATTTTTTGATGGTTTAAAATTTTAAATTATCTAAAATTCAGGGAAGGTGATAGAATTCGTTGAGAAATATAAGAATTCAAAACACAGGTTAAAATTTAATATTATTTTATTGATGATTATTTGTACTATTAGTTTAATTATTTGAACGTTTTAAAAAAAATAATATTGTTTTATTCAATCTATTTTTAAAAATAGTAAGATTTTTTTTATAAGATAGTAAAGATATACTGGTAATCTGCATTCAACCTAGCCAAGTGTTTTAACGCTTATGATAATGAAAAAGTCAAAAAGAAACAAAGAAAACGTTTATCTTGTAGGTACTTGAAATGGTTTAAAAAAAATAAAAGACTATTCTTTTAAGATCAGTTACGAAAAGCATAAATATTTTTTTTATATTTAGTTATAATAATGAAATGTCATTTTGGTGGCATATTGACAGTTAAGTTAAAAAGAATTTGTCAATCCAATGATCACAAAAATATCATGTTTGGAAGAAAAAATATGTATCTCCCATAAGGGTTTGATAGTCGTATTGTAGACAAACAATACAGTTTAGGAGTATGATTTATAGAATATTTCATTTAAAAAAATAGCTTGAAAGGCTATATACTATATTCTTGTGTATATATTTCCGGTCACCAAAACTATCTTGTATACATGGTTATCATTAAACTTTCACAGGTTCTTCAAAAACTACCATTATAACCAGATATAATGCATGGATAAACTATACTACTCATGGATAAAATATATTAGTTATAGTCCAAGAAGGTCATTTTTGTCATTAAGCATAAATACATTCCAAATACTTTAAGCGCCGTTAAAAAAAACCGGAGCTTTGGATATAATAATATAACTTATATATAGTTTCTGAAAATATAAACACGTAATCTAGAAAATCTTGTAATTGTAAAATTACAGTTATGTATATCTATTTTGCCTCATCATAATATTGAATATTGATCACAAACTGTACATACCAACTATAGGCATATTATATAGCTTGCAATTGCATGATCATAAACTCATAGTATTGATTCCAACTGCTTCAAGTTTGGGTTCAAATTTTCAGGTGTAAAATCTTCTTCTGGTGTATTGTATGCATCGGCTATTGCCTTGCCCTTTTTCAGTATATCTGTAGGAACAGTCTCAAGTAGGCTGCATGAATAAACAAGGTAATGGAATAAGTCATTCCATTCCTTCCCTGATTCCATCATAGTAAAATTTACCTGTTTAATGCACTAACAGCTATGCCAATGTTCGACTTCATTGATTTAACTGAAGCTCCGGGTTCATTTCTTGATGCATGTAGCAATAGTGAATCAAGTTCTTCCAATGCTCTTTTGAGACATAAGCCCATTAGTGAGGACAAAATGGTAATTTCCAAAAGGTATGAGGAACAAATTAAGTAACTTAATGGCAAAATTAAGGGGTACCTGAGACATTGATCCACATCATTGGAAGCAGTTTTATCATTGCCAACTTCATTTGCATACTGTGCAACCTATACAATCACAATCATTTCAGAGCCTCTGTATTAAGTCAAAAACAAACACCATCTATACTATATATAGCTTAATGGATTAAGTCAAAAAAAAGTTGAGAAAAAGCATGGACTTACTGCTCGAATGTTCATTCTCAATGATGCTGCTGGGCCAGCACGTAAAAGACTCCTGCAAGCAGCATACTGAGGCTGCTCAGCTTCCAGTGTTTTACCTACACAAAGTGTCAATCAAATACATTGCTCTACTTGTGAACTCAAGTATGAAAATGGTGAAGGTAGAGACAATAGGGTTACCTAGTTCTTCAATCTGCATCTCAGTCAGGATGATGGCTGGGACGTAAGCCTCCAGTGGTTCAAGCTTTTTTCTAGATGAAACATTTCAGATGAAGGTTTAATAGTAAAAGAACAGATCAATTACTCATGATTTTGACATAAATGACCAAAGTTAAGATCGTCGTCTAGGATTTAATTACCTTTTCACGTACTTATCAAATGGGCTAGATGTCGCATCTGCATCCAAATTCAAGCTCGAAAGTCAAATTTCAGTTCAGAATATCAGGTAAACAGTAACAAAACGCTAAGATTTATAAAGCAACTGAAAATCTCTAAGGAAGCTGCCCAATAATCAACATCTCTTATTTCAGGGAGTTTGGTGTGCTACTTGATGGATCGTAGGTGTAAATTAATGAGCAAAACAGTGCGTACCTTTTGGGATAGAGAGAAAGTGGAGGAGGACGACGGAGATGGAGACGAGTCGCCTAGTTTCCCGCCGTTCCTCAGGGAACACTGCGCACCTCACTGTTAAAGTTCTCAACTTTCTCTCCGGTGATGAATGTGGCGCAGTGTGTCGGGAAATCCTCGAGTTGAACTGGTGAGTGGCAAGTCGCGAAATGGTGGTTGCTGTCGCCATTTCCTTCTCTCAATTCACTTCGCCATTTCCTTCTCTCAAAAGGCTCTTATCCATTTCCACTCCCTCTCCCTTCACATATTTATATATAAACCCCTTATACTTTCACTCAGTATCAATTCATATCCGTTAATTATATATCCAAATTTGCATACATATACATAAGGGTAACCGGGTAAACAATAATACAAAGGAGTTAGATCATAATATTCGTAAAACATTGTATAAGCAATAATACGGAGCAGTTAAATCCTAATATTCTTAAAACAAGAACATTAAATGGGTTTCCTATTGTCCAGTCCACTTTTGGCTCGCTGATATTGTGAGATTTAAAGAGAAGGCTCGTATTTGTTGATGATACTAACTCATTTTGGAATTGTGTCACGCACACTTTCTTGGCCAACCCTTGATTGAAATCCTTGATGTTTGAATTTGAAACCTCTCTTATGGATGCCCAAGTGTTACCCATTGAGCCAGCAATTATCTATTATTGAATATAAAACCAATAATATTCCATTAAATGGGAATGTTACATTGGGGAAGAAGATGTAGGAACTAATTGACTTCTTGATTAATAAGGAAGAGAGAATTAGTATCTTTGTCGAAGGACGGGGAGGCGTCTTTGTGAATGGAGGGAGTCGGGAGGATGTGATTGATGATTTGGTATGCACGAAAGTGTATCTTGAACAGTTCTACCAATGAAGAATGTTGTCTTTTTTTCATTTTCATGAATGATAGGGATAAAAGTTTTCATGTGATTCATGGCTAATGCGGGATGGAATTTGGGTTTGGTCGTAAAGAAGGAATAAGGAGAAAAACGGTGGTTGATGAGAGAAAAAAGTGGGTCGACGATGAGGGAGAGTGGGTTCAACAACTATTGTAAGAGTTTTGTTTCTGATACCACATTAGTACAAATTATTAACATTTTAATGCTACAACTTCTGAATTATCAATATAATATACTTGACATGTTAATTTAAAGATGGTGTAAAATGTAAAACCTAATTCAAAAATTGTATTTAACTTTATCAAGTGTAGCCAACAAGTATAAGTCATTAAGATGAAGCGGTTCTAATAAATGTCTCTTTTATCACATTGTTCCATTATAATGTTTTATATTAACTTAATACATGAATAATATTTTATAGTTAATTAGTTATTGAAAATGACAGTTTTGCTTAATAACATATATTTGTCAATATTTTTGACTATGTACATTTAGTAGAACTATATTTTTGGATGTATCAAATTACTAAAAACCTCCTTTCATTTCATTTTACCTTATAACAAGGGACGGATCTAGTATAAAACGGGTATGCAAATCCATACCCTTATATTTTCTGAACATATGTTATGTTCTTTGAAAAATAATAATTATGTATTAAATATTATTGTTTGCCATTAAAAACCGGCTATTTGTTGATTGTATTACCGTGAAGAGAAGCTTAGATTAAGAGGTAATTTGGGGATATAAATAATAAGTTAGGGCTTCTTTATTTGAATTTTGTATTACAGAATACTTATATATTAAATTGTAAAAATCATTTAACATTGTCTAATTTATTAATTAAATTATAACGATTAGAAAAGGGAAAAGTTTATCTGGATGTCAACATAATTATAGTCGGCACGATCCGAAATTTTGATTTTGTGGCTCCAAAGAAGTTTCAAATTATAATCTAAAAGACATCTATTTTATTTTCATAGCTATAAAACAATTGATAATAGCTAATACTAAATGTCTAAATATAATCATCAATATATTAATAAAGGTATAGTTTAGAAGAAGGTGTAACCATCATTGAAAACTAAGTACTATGTACTATTGTACTTATACCATAACGAAGTCTGAGCATGTTGAAGTACTTTGTGCAGCAGAAATTCACATTGTCTAATGAAATCGATGATACCAATATGGAAGTAATGATTACCAATACAAAAATACACAATACATAGTAATACCAAAAAGGCTATCACAACTTGAATTATACAAGTTTCCAACTCATTACTTGATTTTGTATCATTTATGCCATGATTTAGTGGTCAACGCTTGATCCGTTTGACCTTTTTGTATCAAACCTTTTCATCCATTTCTTTTGGGAAGAGGTAAAGTGAGACATTATTTCTGTATGAAATGATGGGCTTTTTTGAGAAGATGATGAAGCTTCTGTGGATGGAAGCTCAGCAGGAAGTGCAGAAGCAGTGCTTGTTAATGCATTTAGTACAAGGAATGCAAGTATGGGAGAAAGATCCAATGTCCCTCCAAGTGGTGGGATCACCCCACGAAATATATTCAAGTAAGGGTCACATAAAGTGTTGTAAAAAAAAAAGTAAAAACAACATTGTTATTAATGGTGTAAGATGTTTCTTTTTGTTGACTTAATACATAATTTTATTTATTTACCTGAGTGGACTCACAATGGCTTGAGGGGAATTGGGAAACCATGTAAGAACAAGCCTTACAACCAACAAAGTGTTGTAAATGTTCAAGAAATTTAGAACACCATTTGATACCACAAGCCCTACCACTGAATCCCCTGGGATAATTGCAGCAAAATCATGATTCCACACAGACTTCAAATTCCTCTGGTTTCTGCGATTAATCTGAACGCGTAAAGTTTAAAATAGGTAAGTTACCTATTTCTTGCATTCAACCCAATATACAAAACAGATCTTATATTATTTAGTGTTGTTTAACCTATATCAGTGGGCAATTACTGAAGCAACTGTAATGGTAATGATTCGCTTTGTGTGTATATCAATTTTACGAACTAATGAGAGATACAAAATCTCCAATCCAACCTCGTTTTCCATAGAAACTATAAATACGTTGAATAATTACAGAGTAATCGACCTAAAACACGGGTAGAAGAGTAAAATTACCTGGCAGAAGTTGTGGTATTCAGAGGAGAGAGTTTGCAATTTGGCGAAAAGGGGATTTTCGGAAGCGAAGAGATGCAGGAAATTGAGGCATTTATCAATGGAGTTGTGGAGGTTATGAATCAAATTGTTGGACGATTCGGTGACCAATTTTTGGAGATGAGTGATGGTGGTGGGGGATGTTGATTTGAAGAATAAGAGAGATGGGGTGTGGAGTGTGGAGAGAGGTAGTCCAATTATCACAAACTTGTTGGTAGAATTGGCAGTCTTCTCAGTTGGATTATCATCACATGAATTCTTTGTAGAAGATGAAGAGGAATGCATTGCTATTCTGTAATGAGCAGAAATTTTGTCAAATTTCTACGACTCCAAGGAGGGAGTGACGGAGTGTGGAGGTGAAGATAGGATTTGGTGATGTATTGTATGTAAGGATTGGAGCCACATATGAACATTAAAAACCAACCAAAAAAAGAAGTCAAATACGTCCGAATTTTATAACATAAAACCTAGAAATTTTTTGATTACGATAGAATTACACATATAGTCCTTCAATGGTAGGAGCGAGTAGAAGTGCACAAAAACTCAAAAAGGCGTTCAGGTCAAAGCTAGACAACATTACACGGAGAAAGTGTGAATTACAAATCATCCTATAAAAATCGGTTTGTTAAGACCAACGGGCGTTCTGTCCGGCTACACTTAGGCCTAAAAGTCTGAGTTGTTTCAAGAGAACAAATTTGGTTTTCGTTCGTTTAAGTATCATATATTCGATTAAAAGTTGCACACTAACGTGTTGATTGATAAAACTGAATCATTAAGTGTAGTCCGGATGTCATTCCTGGAATAGGGCATGATTTTGTTTCGACCATGATTGATAAACCTAATTATTAACAAGTTTAGAAAGGGTTTTATCTGATTTTACAAGATCAGACGAACTTAACTCAATTTCAATCAATAAGTAAAAACACTCTTGTCTAGTTCGAATCCACTTCGTCCTTATGGCTAGCTAATAATTATGGATTATCAAGTTGGTTTTAATTATATTAGTAATTTAAGTCTAACTTTACCAATAATTAATTAATTCATGTAAAACTATGTATGGTTACACACAATTAAACACATAACCAATTATGAATATGAATATGCTATGTAAGATTTATTATGTAAACGCAATTATAGTCATAATCTACGTTCTCTAGCACAACTAAGTTTATTTACTTTATTTACTAACTAAGATTGGTCAATCCTAGCTCTAACAATTTAATGTTCACTAAATCATTAGGTAAACAAGTTCATGCAGTTAATGGTCACTAAGTTAGACAGAACATGAAATTAAGCAACTAAAGAAACAAACACAAGCATGCTTGGTAACTATAAATCAAACACAAGCAATTTACCAACTAAATAAATCCGTATAAAATTAAGCTATTCATAAGTTGGAAGCTTCATCTAGCTAAACAAGAGTAGCTAGATTCAGCTGCTCATAATAGCAACTAACACACTAACACAAATCAAAGTATAATGAAACATGTTCTTAGGTAACAAATAAGTAAACTAAATTATGGACCTTCACTCTTTTGGTGTTGAAACCTTTTTTCCAGGTCCTTCCTCTACTAAAAAACACCTTCTGGAACCTCTTTCTCTAGCCAAAAGTCTCCTCAATTCGTAATGGTATTGGATATATATAGTTTTCTGAATTTAATAATTCACGTCGTGAACAATAAAATATTCACGTCGTGAATACAAGATAACCGTACCCAGCAAGGATTCCTTCACCCGCATACATATCTTCTACAACTTATGCTCACGTCGGAATCGTCCAGTTCTCACGACGTGAAAACGTTTTTTTTCCTGATTTTCTTGTCCTTTAATCTTTTAACTCCCAAAGTTTCTTCCTTTAACGTTTTTAGTCCATTTTCTTCAAAATGTCTTCTTTTTTGCTGCAAATAACATTTAAACCCATAAGTACCATTATTCTAAACAAATTACCAACTTATATATATATATATATATATATATATATATATATATATATATATATATATATATATAAAAATGTACTTAAATATTGCCTAAAAATAGGTATAAATATGGTAATATCAGGAACAAATTCCGCAACTCTTTTAATCAAATGATTACTCTGATTTTATACAGCAAAGTATAAACAAATCAGTATTTTTTGGCCGTGAAATTGGGGATGTCACATACCATATGTAACTGGTAATATTTGAATTTGTCTGAGCTTAGTAACTACAAGTAACATTGTACCTTTGCACTCGCCCTTTATGTGAGATCCATCTATTACAAGGGTCGGTTTATAACAATTGTCAAAAGAGTTTACCTACAATATATTGTATATCTATTCAAATATATTGATTATAGTTAAGTACATCAAAATAAAAAAATAATAATAGTAAAATATAGTAACACTAACTGAGGAACCAAGTGTGACATACAAGAACTAAAACCGATCATTGGAATCTGTTTGAATATGTGTCATCGTGTCGGGATTATGTTTGACCAAATTGTGGAAATAAGCCGAAAGTTTGGTAAAAGAATCATCTTTCGTACCCCTTAACAACAATGCATATTGCTTCGCACGCCAAATCTGATGGTATGAGATACTGATTTTCAATTGTGCATTCATATCGTTAATAATATATTGTCCCCAATATACTATACTATAATCTTCAGCCAAAACATCAACAAAATATTCACCTAAAACATGTTTGTTTGCTTGTTGATGATTAGGTTGCAACATTGTTGAAGAACATGTGCGTACGTCAACAAATTTATTCTCTTGGAAAAGTCCGCTAGAATTTTTGATTCCTTTTACTCTTAGTAACCAAGATCAAATTTTCCAATCGCCCGTTTTAGAAGAGGCATTCAATCTTTTGATTGAGGTTTACCATCTATGATGAGATGTCTTCATTAACATCAACTAGACATGCTGGTAGAGGGGGTATAATGTAAAAAATATTATCGGGAAACTTAGCTTTACATTCATTACCCAACTCATCTTCATCAGAATTGCTTTCTAAGTCGGTTATATCTAAATCTACAACAATAACATTAGAAAAATCCCCGTAATCATGTAGATTTTCATCTTTTTGAATCATATTTTTTTTTTTCTTTTTACTATCATCTACTTCACCCTTATTCATAACTTTAACTTTTTGTTGGAGAACGTCAACATAACAGCTACCCATGTCATTAAAATATCTACCAACATCATCATCATCAATGTACTTGTAATTTTCAGGATCCACATAGTGAATAGGTGAATACCCCACATTAATAGGTTTAGCAACATTATGAAACTGAGGTACACTAGGAGTCATGAAAGTACCTATTGGGTTGTTGCTCCATTTATCGTCGGATAAGTTAGGAGCCCACTCATTTCCTCTCTTGCCACCCTCCGTAACCGCATCATCTTCATCAACCACCACAAACACTTTCACAACCCTTCCTCCAACCGATTTGATTACGTTGATCATCATTCTAACATCAATATCTTCAACTATGACTATATAATGATTCATTAAGGATGATAGAAACGAAGACTAATTTTATACCTATCTAATAAATCGGTTTTCATTTTCACCAAAGATATAAAATCACTATAACTAATATACTCGGAAAATATCAAAGTGAATCTAGAAATACCTCCACGTGGACATATATATTCCAGATTTGTCTCCATGACTTCCCACCTCCCATCACTTACAACGCAAATCAAATATTCATTCATTTTATTAAAGATTTTTTAAACAATATTTCCAAAGAAATAACAACGAAAATGATAATTTTTTTGCAATACTTTATATATAATATGGTTGTTTCGTAATTAAACCTTATTATTTCATCTGTGATGGTAGTGTAGTGTGAGGGGGTATTTATACTTGAAAAAATAAAATAAAAATAAAAAACCATCTGCAAACGTACAATTACCAATGCACGCCGACACTTTAAACAATTGTATATTCGCATATCAATAGCCAAAATCACGACTATAATCTATCTGTCATTTTCTGCAAAATAATTATGGAAAATGACTAAATTTATAATTTTCTCTAAGAAAAAATATGTCATCATAAACTAATAATTAAAAACTAACATTAAGGAGTATTGTTAAGCAGAGAAAATGTATGAATTAAAAAAACCAAATATATATATATATATATATATATATATATATATATATATTTATGTTTTAAATGATTTTGGTAAGGGGATAATGACTTGAGAGGGTAACAAATTATATCATTTATACATATTTGGTCACTTAATTTATTTTAGTGCACTGTTAACCCTTAAACTTGTTTTTTTGTTCAAAACATACCATTATGACCTATAATAGCAGGTAAAATTGTTATGGGGGCTGAGTTCCACATTCGGCAGCATTTCTGGTGCTCCGGTCATCTTCTCCGATCATCTTTTCCGGCCATGACAGATTTCGAGTTCATTCATGGTAGATTTTTGGAACATATACATATGAAACATATGTAAACTTAAGTTCATACATGGTTTTGGAACAAATCTGAAACAAATGTGAAATCAAGTTCATCCATGGTAGATTTTGAGCTCAAACCCTTTAATATTTGGAATCGATTTTGTTTAAACCCTTCAAATCCTCTAGTTTAAACCCTTCAACATTTGGAATTGATTTTGTTTATGATGAAGAAAGCCTAACAAGAATCGAACTCATCTCTAGTTCACATATGGCAGATTTTAGGTCTCGTTTCTAGACCCATTCATATTCATCTTCATGGTATTTGGAATTGATTTCGATTTTGAAGTATAATTACGATACTGATGATTTATTGTAAACACACACCTGAAAGCGAAATCAATTTTAAACACACATCTCATGAACAATTTTATTTTTGAAGAAACCCTAGCCCACGAATCTGGAACCAAATCAAAGCTTGAAGGATCACCAATCTGGAACCAAATCAAAGTTTGAAGGAACTCGAATCTGGATGAAGAATATACCAAAAGATGAAGATGTACAAAAACTCTTCCAGATGAAGGGTTTTCAGATGAAGATGAAGATGTTCTTCATCTTCCAGTATATGTTGAGGAAGATGAACATAAACATGAACACACGAAAACTCCAGGTTTTTCGAGTTCGATTTCCTGCCAAAAAAATCCACATAACAAGATGAATCTTCAAACCAGACCAGAAAACGATTTTGAAATCGTGTTCCTGTTCATACTTTTTTTTTTCTGCAAATAAATGTTTCAGTTCTTTAAAAAATTTCAACTATGTTTTTGGTGGATGTTTTTCGGCAGATCACACACTTGATGAGACACTATGTTTTTTT